AGGGGTGAGACCATGTGGAGTAGAGATTGGGCTGCTCAGCAACAAATAGAACAGGTACAAGGAGAATTAGATCATGGGATGTTGAGACGAATCTTGACTGACTCAACTAGATCACTTTGGTGACCCTGGATTTCATCCAGGTACCAAGAGGCAAGTTGTCCAGTAGAAGTGTCTACTGGATAGTTGGGAGAATGACCAACATTTTCCATTGCCATGGAAATATCCTATTGGGTAAGATCTGGATCATATTGAGCAGACTCTCCAATAATATGGGAGCCAATATAGGTTTTGAGGTCATTGGAGTATACAGTCTCAACTGCAAGCAGTGCAGGAGGCTGTTTGGGAGAAGGTTCACAGTTAAGTTTGATAGCAGTGATATCAAGTTCTTCAGCAGCATATTCATTATAATATTCCTGAGGATAGTCCTCAGGAAGTTCTTCAATTGAAGCCATGTTGATGGCTTCAGCACCTTCAACTTCAACAGCAGAGGTGCAGGCTTTACCCTTGCCTTTGCTGTGCCAGTGATTCTGGTTGCCACCACAGCTACCAGAACCTTGCTGTTGTTGCTGCTGTTGAGGGTAAGGTGAATAGCTGCCATGTCCTTGGTGAAAACCTCCTTGACCACCTTGACCTCTGCATCCTCTGCAGAAAGATCCAGATCCACCAGCAGAGCCTCCTCCACAGTGATCTTGAGTATTGTAGGAACCACAGCATATATTACAAAGCAGTTGTTTATTCATGTGAGCAAGGAGTGAATTAGACTCCTGCTTTATAGTTGTTCCTGATGATGATGCTTTATCTTGTTGTGGTAAAAAGGTTTTTCCTGATTTATGAGACCAAATTTCTTTCATCCAGGGAATGACAGTATCTGGAGAAAGTTGTGCAGAAGCAATGGATGAAAGGATATTGACTGGGGCTTGGTCCCAGTCTTGAGACATAGAGTGAACAAGTATGAGGGCTTTCATTTTATTGTTGAGATCTATGCCCTGGCCTTGAATGGCAGCCATGATCATCATAATTTCCAAGATCTTGAGCATAATATCATCTTTAGGTTTGATCTGAATACAGATCAGCCTTTGAAATTCCATGAAAGTTGTCATGGTGGAAGGATTGCCATATTTAGATTTAAGCTTGTCCCACTTCTCTTTAGAAGTATCCTTTTTGTCAATTGACATTATGATCATCAGATCACAATAGAGTGTGATGATTCCCTGAGCACATGTATCAGATGTGATCCATGGCTCTTGCTGTGCAATGTTGGCAGGTTTTGGTTTAGAACCATCAACAATATTCATAATGCCTAGTGTTTGGAAATATGCCTTCATGAGAACTGACCAGGATGCATAGTTAAGGCCATTAAGTTTTGGAATTTGTTTTCCAAGGCCATTGGATATCTAGTAGAGGTTCAGGAGTAAGTGATCATGTAAAAACAATTTCACTGGGTGTAGAGTTGAATGGGGAGGATTTAATAAATGATTAGCTTGGCATTTAGGTCTGCAAGCAGTAGCTCTAGCAGATTGAGACTTGCATTGAGTATGACAAGGTTTGGGTATATGAGGATGAGGGTTTCTCCACTCTTTTATGATAGGAATACCCCTCTCAGCAAATTGCTTTGTAGCAATGTGAGAGTTGTTGCACTCTAGTAGGTCAAAGTCTAAGGGACCAAAATAGTGGCACCCAAAGAATGACCATTTGACTTTGTGCTTCAGATGATCATCTGTAAATCCAAGACATGGATTTGCACAACTGTAAGGTATAGGAAAACTTTTGTAAAGGCAGAAGCCAGGACATTGAGATTTAACTTAAACTTCAAAGACATTGTATGATTTGTCCAAGATACAACTATCAGTTTCCTCATGGTACCAGCCTCCAGATGTGTGCAGTACATCCATTGTACCAGGGAGAGGATAGCTGTGCCCTAATGGCACAAGACTGGTGAGTTCTTTCAAGAGCATTGGCAGGTGGTTGTGTGCATCAAGATTCCATGAAATAGTCAAAAGGACTATTCTGAATGGCAAATTTGAGATCTGCAAGAACATCCTCCAATGAGGACCAGTAAGCAAATTGTTGGTGACCAGCTCTGTCAATCCATCCAAGATGGCAATTAGTGGTTGCATATCTGATCTGACTTCCCATATCTCCTTCAGCTTTAAGTTGCCTGGTAAAGGTGAGTAAACCATCATCAAACAAGTCACCTCCTGCTCATCTTTGATGGAACCATCTTGGCATGGCTCTCATGTCGGTGGTCCCATCAGCCCAAACTCCTCAGAAAGAGCACTCAAGATGCTCATTCCAAACCCGAAGAGGTGGGATGAGCCCACAGAAGGATCCATTGTAGTATGGATGGGCATTATAGGTGACATAGACCAAGGTGTTATGGGTGATTTTTGATGCAGGAATGGTAAAGAGCAAAGGATCTTCATAAGTCACTGAAGGTAGATCACAGCCATTGAAGTTAGCAATGGCATGAGGTGATGAGGAATGGGTAAGTTTAGGAACAAAGTCGGTGAAATAGCCATGGTATGTGACATGGATGCCAGGACAGAAGAAGGGAGAGTCAAAGCTGGGGAAAAAAGGCATTAACTGCCAGGTGGCTTCAACAACAGAGATAGGGACCAAGTACACAGCTGGGTGTGGCCTCTTGAAGAATGTGACAGAAGAGGGTATGGCTTCCCTCCAGGACACACAGTCTCTAACATATAGCAACATATAGCATCTCCATAAATTCTATAAATTCCTTCACCACATACTTCCTCCATTTCTTGCCCTCATACATTCCATCCTGGTGCTCAGCAATTTGAGTTTTGATACATTTAGTGACAACAAGAGACATTTGTTTATAGTGATTAGTTCCCATAATGACAGTAAAGAGAGATGAATGAGATTAAAGCAATTCAAACTCAGCAAGGTCAGGGTTGACCATGAGAATGTGCTTGATAAGCAGCTTGTTCATCTTGTCGATTTCCTCATGACCAGGGGTCGGAGCATGATGAGGAGGTGGGGTGTCAACTGCACCTTCCTCCATATAGGGAGGTATGGGATCTAAGTCAGCCTCTCAGTTGACATTGGGAAGATGTAAATGTAAGTAATGAGGCAGTGGAGCAGGAAGCATACATTGTGTGGTGAATATGGCATGGACTGCAATGGCAGGAGCAATAACTTGCTGCTGGAGTCACCACCATGTGGAAAGTCCTAGAAACGTCATCCAGAAGGCACTCGAGCTGATAAACAGCCAATGCAAGTCACCTACACCAAAAGCTCCATAATATACAAGAAAAATAGACTGGTAACAGCCTGCAAGAAGCAACAAAATGAAGGTAACTACTGCCCAACCTAGCACATCTAGGCCTACTTGATCCATAGTGATTTGCCTGTCAGCAGTGATCTATTCTATGCAAATCAAGTAAATAGCACACACCTAGAAGGCAGGGCTCATAACCTATTGCATGGAGGATGGGAAGTATGAAGAGCTAAGACAGAACACTTGCCTTATTCTTGAGTTAAGTGGTGGGTTTGAAAGGGTTATGGTGAGTAGAGCTGGGGCTCAATAAAAGTAGACTGTTCTGTAGGTAGAACAATGGGGAGTACAGCAGATATCCCTGAGTTTATATACATGTAGACATATGCACAAACCAGTAGTGTAAAAGGAAAGTACTACTATGTATAGTAAGGAATAGTGGAGAATGTCATGGAATATGACATAGTAAATGATGTCATAGTGACATCATTGTGGAGCTGTATCACTCAGCATGTCATGTGACACTACATGTGTATCACAACATGTAAGTCTAGATGTGTCTAGACAGTCAGAATTTCAACAGTCTTGCCATCTGCTGACCCTTCCCCTGCTATACACTCATGCACAGGCCATCCATGTTCTCACCATCTGAGCTTTTCACCATCTGCTGATTCTCCCCCCACTACTACTCAGGCATAGGAAGTGCACATTTTCACCATCTGAGCTCCTCACCCTCTGCTGACCCTTACCCTGCTATTGCCTATCTAAATCTTGCCATCTGCTGACCCTTCCCTTGCTATTACTCATGCACAGGATGGGCATGTTCTTGCAGTTATGACTCAATGTCTTTGAATCCAAATCATTTGCTGTGGTCTTGTTCTCCTTCTGTTATGTCTTTTTAAAATGAAGGAAAAATATACACAAATGCCTTGTTTGTGCTGTACACATCTCATCCCCATGTTTCTACAATCCTTCTATTACCTGTTGATACATTTGGTTGTACAAATGCATATGCTTCCCTTGTTTCCTTGCATCGACCCCCAGAGTTGCAGTCATACACAATGCATATGGGAGCATCCAAGAGGGGATTTTGCGAGCTGGTGATCATGCACCCAATGCGCCAGGACTCTTACAGGTCCTGCAGACAGGAGGATCTGGGAATGCTCATCTTTTTGATATCTTCACACCAAAGTATCATACTGTTCTCATATTCACACCTTCTTTGGCCATCCCCATCATATTGTCTGTCCTTGCGACTCTAATGCAGTGCATGCCCAGGAACGAGATAGTGAGACCCCTGCTTGTGTTTTCTGGCCATCCCTCTGTTTTAGATGGGGGAGTCAAGACATCTTCCATAGAAGATCAGGCTAGGAGTGTGGAAGTATTTGTCGACCAAGCAGGCCATGTGTACCAAGGGTATATCATCGAGAAAGACAGACATAATGAACCTACTTTGTACCATATCATATGAACAAATGAGGTTGACAATTGGCTGTGTTGCACAGACCAGCTAAAGTCAAGCAGGACATATGAACAGGTAACATAGAATATCCAGAAAAGGAAACAGTCCAGGTGCTGGACCATGTAGTGCACATGCTGCAGAGTACCTGACTGCAAGCTGTCAGGGAGGAGTCCAAAGGTAGTCACATGACTCCTCAGAGAACGGTCTGTTTGGGGAGTTTTGGGAGAGGACAATTGTGAGTTGTACTCGTTCTCCTCTAGTTTTTCACACTGATCTGGTGCATTGGCAGGCCTAGATGACGAGTACAGGTACTGGTCTTATGTCAAAACCCATCCTGCCCATGTGGTTCTCTCCCAAGGGTCCCAGCAGGAGGCTGTGGATGTACTACATTGGTCCTACACTGATCAGCTGCTTGCCCATCCCCAACTGATTCAGCTGCCTTTTAGTCAGGAGGAGTGTCAGGAACTGTTGAGACTACTCAATGGTGAGGCTGGGACATTTCCATTCAGTTCTACTTGTCTGATTTTTTTTTCAACAGATCTGAGTCAGCAATCCACTCTTTTGTACACACACATGGTTGCTCACATTCTTCTACATGCTGGTGAGTTTTTGCACCATACCCCTTGCCAGTGTTATGTTCTTACAGGCTAATGTTCTTCATCAGCTCATTGGCATCAGGTCAATTTCAGGCCACACAAACTGCTCCCACAAGACATCATCACTGCACACACATTAAGGCAGAACCTGATGCTACACATGGTGGTTGAGATATTGATTGGTATACTGTGCCTTGGCATCCCATTCTTGTTCGTGGATCAAACAAGATATAGCAGCCATTTTGATGTGAAGGGGAATGTAAGCATGCAGAGTATGTGCCACTGTTTGTCATTGGTGCTTGTACCTGTCTTGTGGTGAGGGTTAATCATTATGATGATAGTCATACTCATTCCTAACTTCTTTTCCTTCCCTGCTTTCTGCTTGCGCAGTCTGCATTATCCTCAGCACCTGTCACACTTATCTCATTCCCAGGACTGGATGGTATCACACACATTGGAGGTCTGGTTGCCATTTCATGTTCCGTTCTGAGCATGGTTACATCTTTCCTGTCTATTTTCCAGTATAAAGCAGAGTTGCCACAGGGTTCTGCAGCTGTTCATCATTTGGCTGCTGCTGCCCATGAAGGATTTGTATTTCTCCCAGTGAGTTTGCAGTTCCCCATTATTGCTCCTATCCCTAACTCATCTCAAACCACTTACAGCACTGAAGCATTCTGCTCTCTCTTCTGCTAGTTTTTCTCGCATATTCTGTGGATGGGTTCATCACTGTCATCATTGTCTACACTAGAATCTGTAACATTACATGAACAGAATAAAACAGCTGTAATATTATAACCAGAAAGAAAGCAAGAAAAAAGCTCCTGAAAGGTCAGTTTCAGATTCAAGTTAACATTGAGTCAATTCACATGACAATGCTGTGACCTTGTGTCATTGCATATAAGTTATTCACTCATGATTTGTACCACATCAACATTGATCCCCAGAACACATGGTTGATTACATATCAAAAGGGACTAAGGTGAGCAACTTTCATACCATAGTCACCTACTGCTGATGGCATTTTCAAATCGTACTTTATTATGTCCTCAGACTGGCTCAATAGCTGGTTATGTCCAACTGCTGACATCCAACCTGCTGACGGTCCACCATGTGGATTCCCTGAGGCTACTACTCTGTATGTATTGCTTTTTTTTGTACTATTCAAAATTTCTGTATTCATCTAAGAGCACCCAACTGGCAGGTGTCGACCTCCATTGGGATTTGCAACATCTGTGGCCCTTAATAAGGAGAATAAAGGGAGGCTTGCAAAGGTTCACAACCATATGCTTCTTGGACTGGAGAGACTGAAATGACTACATAAGACCTTTCCAAGTGAATGACAGACCTGAGGCAACCAAAGAACATCCTCCTAGAGGTCATACTGACAAAAAGAACACACTGTCCAAGCTGGATGGGCTGAGAGGCCACAGATGAGGGTGGGATGTACCAGGATGCTTCAGGACAGAAGCTGGTAGGAACTCCTGGTAGATATATGCAGCCATGGTCCCTAGCAAAGGGGACAAGCAAAATGATTGATGTAGAGGCAGCCATATCAGATGAATTTAGCAAAATGAGTGTCTTTTGGAGGGAGTGCTGTAGAAACGTGTGGAGTGTGCATACCCTTTCCAATTTTGGAAGGTAAGATCACGTGGCTGAGCACTACAAGCAAGTGTGGGAATGGTCTCAGTATCTGCAGAAATGGCGGAGATATGGTTGAAAACCAGAATGCTGTACATGGGTGCTTAAGAATTTTAGCCAGTGCTTAACTTGCTCCCTTTCTTTTTCTCTGGCACTGATGACCTGTTCTTGTGCAAGGGATGACTGCCAACATTCCTGGCTGTCCTTCTTCACATGAGGGCTATGGTCTTCATCTCCATTCATCAGCTGTATCCATGTCCACCTCACCAAACACCTTTGGTGTGTGACATCCACTGGCAAGAAGAAATGCAATTGTCCCTGATTGTGACCAATGCAGGGAACCAAGGGAAAACAGAAAAATCTGAACAAAATGAAGAAAAGAATGAGAGAGGACAAGAGTAAGAAACCAAAAGAAAAAGGAGAAATCATGAATAGTCATCTGAGTCATAGTCATTTGCATTATTGTGTTCTTGGTATTCCTCATCTTCATCTTCATCTTCATCTTCATCATTGTCATTGCTGTTACCTTCTTCTTCTTCCCCAACATCTTTTTCCATAACCTCTAGTAAAGGAGTGTGTCAAGAATAATAGGGAATGAGTCGAAATGCTGCAATTCCTTGAGCAGAAATGGTGCCATCGAGTTCTTTAATGACATAGGAACCCCCCTTGGTGTGATGAACAACCTCATAGGGACCAAGGTAGCATGGCTTTAACTTATGATCCAGTTCCTTTTCTATCTGAGTGTTGTGAACCAATCCAAGTCTCCTGGCTCATAAGCAGACTTCACCAATCATAGTGCATACCTCTTCTCAAACTGACCCTTGGAGCACAAATGAGACCTCTGCAGAGTGATGAAAGCAGCATTGATGTCCTCCTCCCTCCTCTCCAACTGATGAATGCGTAGTGCAAGGAGCTCCTGAGAAGTCATTCCAGACTGGAATCCCTCGACAAGACATGTAGACTCAAAGAGATCAAAGGGCAGGACAGGATCAAGACCATGGAGCAAGAAGTAAGGGCTGAATCCAGTGGAGTGATGAGTAGTAACCTTGTCTGCAAAGAAAGCATGATGAACCTTGGATGGCCAGAGCAAAAGATCTCTCTCGCAAGCCTTGATGATAGCTTCTCTGATAACAAAGTGTCCACACTCTACAACCCCATTTGCTTTTGAATTATATGGGGAGACACGAATCTGTGGAATGGAATAGTGCTTCATGAGTTTCTCAAAGGCACCCTTGACTTCACTGCCATTATCAGTGACAACCTGTGCAATAACACCATAACAGCAGAAGACCTCTTCCCAGAAGAACTTAGCAAGACTGTCTGCATTAGCATGTCGAAGAGCACAACCTTCTGCAGTGAGGGAAAGATCATCTTGAGCTGCAACAAGATAGCAATATCCACGAGCTTTGGGCATGAGCATGACATTGACATAAACCTTCATGAAGATTCTAGGGGAAGTGGAGATGGTGATGGGAATCTCTGCCTTATGAGTGCTTCAAATCTGGCACTCATGGCAGGAACAGACATGGTGAGCAACATCTTGATAGAGCTGAGGCCTGGTACCTCACATGCCAGTAATGGTGGAACTTGGCACTGCAACTGGTGTTGTAGAGGTTCAATCATCCCAAAGCAGCTCAAGACAGGAGTCCACTGAACCCCCCCCTGGCTTCATTTCAAGGAGGTGCCAGCTTGGAAGTACCTCCTTTGAATGTTGAACCTGTGCATGGACCTGCTGGAGGTCTGGCAATCTCTGTTACTCCACCACCACCAGCAGTTGGATCAGTGCCTGGACAGGAAGGTAGGATGGAGGTCAACTAACATCAATGTACTTGTCATTTCACAATCCATTTGTGTTTTTTTTTGTCTTTGTACTTGTACTTTGTTAGATGCAGCAATATATTCTATATTGTCAAAATGTGATCTCCAGGAAGAAGCAGCTACTGCTGCTGGTAATTGTTACTGTATGATTCAGGTACTGGAAAACCAATCTGGTATGGTGATGTCTGTACCAAGGCTGTGGTGTTACAAGCACTAAGGGCCAATGGAGTCATGGTTCACCTAGATGATTGAATGATGACTGGCAAGCATAACTCAATTGTTTTTGCTGTATAGCATGATGGTGACTTTCATGGTATTGTTCTGGCTTGCTGGAGGCTGTAAGGCATTGAATTCACAGTTTAAATGTACTGGGTAGTTGGCTAGTCTTCTGGGCATTACCAGAGCCACCATTGTGGTAATACATGCATCTCTGGCATGGTACTGGTACTGGTATGTACATACACTGTGGACCTGCTCCCAGGAGGTCAGGCAGGTCAGGCATGGCATGGTATAATTTCTGGGTGGGCCTCCATAGCATTGGCACTGGGATGGCATTCATGGCATTGGTGCTGGGACAGCTTGACTGATGGCCTCATGGCATTGGGGATGTGCAAGAACATATGGCATAGGTGCCTGGATGGCTTCCACAGCATTGGTGTTGTGCCAGAACACATTACAATGGTGCTGGGATGGCTTGCATGATGGACTCATGGCATTGGGGATATGCCAGAATACATGGAACCAGTTCCAGGGTGGCTTCCATGGCATTGGTGTTGTGCCAGAACACATTACAATGGCATAGGTGCCAGGACAGCTTCCATGGCATTGGTGTTGTGCCAAAACACATTACAATGGTGCTGGAATGGCCTGCATGATAGCCTCATGGCATTGGGGATGTGCTGGCACTCATTACACAGGTGCCAGGATGGCCTGCATGATGGACCTGTGGCATTGGGGATATGCTGGAATACATGGAACTGGTGCCAGGCTGGCCTCCATGGCATTGGTCCAGTGCTGGTACACATTACAATGGTGCCAGAATGGCCAGCACAATAGGCCTCATGGTATTGGGGATGTGCCAGAACACATGGCATTGGTGTTGTGCTGGAACACATTCCAATGGTACTGGGATGGCCTGTGTGATGGCCCCATGGCATTGGGGATGTGCTGGAACACATGGACCTGGTGCTGGTGCTGGCTCACAGTACATCAGTGCCAGGACAGCTTCCATGATGGCCCCATGGCAGTGGCAATGTGCCAGAGCATGTGGCATTGGTGCCAGCATGGCTTCCATGGCATTAGCATTGTGCTGGTTCACATTAAATCAGTGCTGGTTGGGATGGCTTCCATGGTATTAGTCCTGGGTTGGTGTTGGCCTGGCTCACATTGCATTGGTGCTGGGATGCCTTGAATGGCATTGGTATTGGGTCTGCCCACATGGAATCGATGCCAGGACAGCCAGCATGGCATTGGTGTTGTGCTGGCCTGCATGGCATTGGTATTGGGCCTGTTCATATTGCATTGGTGTTGGCCTGGCTCACATGGCATTCATCCCAGGATGGCCTGCATGGCATTGGTGTTGGGCTGGCTTGCATGACAGTGTTGCCAGGGGTGAACTCAGGGGCTGAGCCCATCCATACCTTCCAGGGACACCCAACTCTGGGCTTACCTGGGACTACTCATATTGCAGTGGCTACACCCTAATCCCACAGCTGGCTTGTACCCCATGATGACAATTCTAACCTCTGCCCAGCCATTCTCCATAATGACTCCTAGTTTTGGGCTCAGCTGTATGCTATGGTGACATGCATTTATTGGGCTCTCCCATAGTCCATGATGACACTTACTCCCCAGCCTGCTTGTAACTGACAATGACAATTCAAACCACAGCTGCACCATTCCTCATGACAACATTTCCTCTCAGGCTCAGCTGTACTACATGGTGACACTCATCAGTTGGGCTCTCCCATACTACAAGGTGACAATAGGTTCATGGCTCTCATGTAACACATGTGCACAAGCCATACATGGGCTCAACCTCTGCTGGCCCATCACTGATGGCTGATTGTCAGCCTCCACTGACCATCTCATATGGCCTAACCAGGTGCATGGGCTCGCTTTTTACTACATAGTAGCAATATATTATTATGTAATCACTTAACACCAACTTCATGCTTGATTTGTAAATAAGCAAGGAATTCAGTGCTTATTTCAAGTTACCTTGCTTGCAAGGTTTCTACCAGGCTCATAATTGCTGGACCCTTGGTCCAAGGGTCTTGGACCATCAATGTTCACACAGCAGTCTGGAAATGGAAAGAATTTCTGTGGTGAGTTGGTTCCCACACAATTATGACCCTGGTAGGAACCTCGCAAGCAAGGTAATATGTATAAGCAGCCTGAGTTATGAAGTTCAGTTCTGGTTCCAATGAAAGTGCTGTCAGACAGACATGATGCAGGTCATATTTGATTTGACTCCTAGCTAATGGGGCATGCTCATGTGGCTGACTGATCACATGTGGCAGTTTCAATGTTATCACATGCTCTAAAGAGTATTCCAAAGTGAAAATAGCATATTTTCTTATGAATCAAATTATGAGACTCTTGTAAATCTTGATTTCAAGCAAACATATAAAATTTATCCAAAGTCTATATTGTGAGAAATGTTGAGATGTGTATCCAAAGACAATTGGACACTATATATTGCAAGAATGTCACAAGGGTATTGACAATAATATCATCCTAAAAAGCTGGTAACAAAAGTTGAAACTTGGAAATTGCTTCATAGGGATGCATAATTCAATATTACACAATCCATTCTGAGATTATCAAAACATAAGATTATCTGCATCATCAAAAGGTGTTACCAAAGTAAATAACTAAATATCAGTTCCGAGATGCTCAGAAGACATTGGGCAGAGAGTGGGCCAATGATTGGCTGGTGGCTGCCCAGTGATCTCTGTATTAGGCATTCTTTTTGTATTTCCAATGCAATTAAGCATATCTAGGCGATGGTATGATTGACTAATCTCTAGTAATGGTACTGGAAGGAAGCATGCAACCCAGGCAGCATGTAATATAATGATGGGGAGTGTGCCCCCTTCGTTGTTATAGTTGTAGGTAAATTGACCATTCTAAGGGATACACCTCATTTGGTCATTTTCATGTCTGGAGGCATATCAACACAGCTCACAAAGGCGATGTCTATATACAGATCCTACATCTGTCTATATGATGTGACTATATGAAAGCACTGAAGGAATGTCAGTAAATCGATCATGATTAGGTTGAATGGCCTATCTTGCAGCATCAACGAGTCATGCAGTGATGACCAGGCAAACATCATATAATGGGAGCTGAGTCCCATTCTCTAATACCACCCCTTTCAGGGTTTTTTTTGTTTGACATTTACTGATGCAGTGAATTTCACCTTTGAGTGTGCCCTTCAGTATTAGGCAGTGCTGACCAGTACTTGTTGGGTTGGTGGGAGACAAGTTGCATGCCAGAATAGTGCGATGTTCGATGATGGTGCTTACAGTGCTGGGTGACAGTATGCCCCTCCAGACTCAGGGTAAGGGTCACCTCCAGGCCATGTTTGTAGGCCAGGTCCATGTCAAAAAGCTCCCAGTGGACTGCAGAGTTCTCACCACCAGAGATGTAGGGCAAATTCCAAGGAACAATGAGAATGTACACCAAGTTGCCTTCAACATGCTGTACATAGGTGATTTTGTTTTTGAGGCTGCCTGTTAACAAGCAAACCCAAGAGCGAACAGGTATGTCACAGGGCTGTGCAAAGGACTCCATTTCTTCCATTGGTACTGGCATGATCTGTGGGATAAGATTGGCATGTGAAGGGGGGAGCTTGAGTCAGACATCATGTGCACTGGGAGCTTCCACATATATGTGGCAAGGGACCAAATGGAAGGTCTTGCGTTCCAGGCCCTCCAGCTTGAAGGGCTGGAGGACAAATCCTGCAGAACGAGCTAATGGAGACCAGGTAAGTTCCCAAGCGAAGGAGTGAAGAGGAGACATGATGTACCAGAGGGCAGCACGACCTTGAATACTCTTGGCTGAGTCAAATTTGTATTCACCTCCATATGATCTTTGACATTATGAACTGGGCCCTGCTGATGCACCTTTGCCCTCGACCTTTCTTCACTCCCCTCGCCACCATAGCAGTGGAAAAGGCTTTTGAGCTGTTGAGTTAGATTCACGCACCCCAATGGAGCTATCTTGGTCACCCTTGGATGGCAGTCCACTTTGTTGTCTAGTTTGTCTTCCTTGTCTTCCTCTTCATCCTCTTCATCCTCCTGCACAGAAATATCCAGATATTGAGAAGCAGACATGCTCATTCTTGGACACTTTGCTGGGCATAGAGAGTGGTGGGATCTGCATGAGCTTTTGCCTGATTGAGTGGTTAGCAAGGGATCCAAAACCTAAGGTGAACATTGGCTTACAAGTTTGCAATGAAGGAGCTTGGGGGGAGAGGATGACATGGGAGACATTGCCTGTGAGATACAGAATGAATTGGTTTACAAAATTGCTTTGAGAAGTTTACTTATGGGAAGAAGCTTGAGCAGGGGGGGGTCACATACACCTGGTGGATGTCAGTAAATTGCAAGAATTTAAAGATCTACTTACTAGAGGGCTTGACAATGCCACACTCAGCCATGGCTGCCCTAACAACCTCAACAGCAGTACCCTCCCAAGAGGCTTCGAATACTTGGTCAAAGATGGAATTCCACTCATCAAACTGGTACCTGTTGCTGAACTTCTCCATCTCTGTCAAGAATATGCCAAAGGAAAGGCTATCATCAGTTGCCCAACACAAAACCAACTGCCATGTGGCAGCATCCTCCAACAAGGGAACTACTGGGGCTACCTTAGCTTGTTTGAGCTCCTGTGCAGCCTTGATGGCATTTATCCCCATGCCCCCCAGATTCAATATGATGATCTTGATCAGGTCTAACCATTCCTCCAATTTGAAGGCAATGCCAGCAATGGCAAGCTTGATTTCAATGTTGAATAGGAGGGTGGTGTCAGTGAATTCTTCACACACAAACCTCTCAAGAAAGGCAGATGCCTTGTCATTGAGGAGAGCAGCAGTGATTTCGACCTTTGGTTCCATTGATAGCCAGGTCATTGTAGAGTTGGAGGTAAGTAGTGAGTGGTAAATAGAGTGGAGGGGGAAGTACTAATGAAGCAATATAAGGTGACAATTTCTGCTATTTGAGGGGATGGGCACTAAGCTTGGCAACCAGAACTGCTACTGTCCTGGACAAGAGGACAAAAAATGGTATCTTTTGATGTGGACAATAAGAATGATCTAGGGGTATGTAATCAGATTGATAATCAAGTATGCAGTGTACATTGTGCTTATCTTTACTCAAGCATGCACAATTTCATTATATCTTGGTCTACACTGGTATTATTGAAATTCTGTAATGCCCACTTTGATAAGTTACTACAAGCTACCTTAATTATTATGGTTGACAGTGTCTATGTATATACAAGTGAATGTTTATTGGGTTAAATGCTCAATGGCACTCAGACATTGTACTTCAAGTCATCAATTGCTGTTGCAGTGGCAATCAAGTCAGATGCCACTCAAAATACCCTACCATGCACATTTATTGGGTGGAACGCTTGAACTGCGATGAGTGATTGTGAATTGAACATCATGCCAGTGACTTACTGCAAAGGATATGACACAACTGTGGGATGTAGTTAGTACATAGGTAGCACTGTGCATTGGCCACTTACCTGTGGTGAAAAGAGGGAAAAAGTGTTCATGAGAAAGTTTGCCACTGATATACTGAACACAACTCATGATCATGTGGTAGCCACTTAAGCAAAGTGCCAAACCTGACACATGGACATGATCATGAGTTGCACTTAGTACCTTACAACTGTCTGTCTAATGGCAGCAAAGGCAGCATTATGGAGAACAATGTAGAAACAAATTCATAGATACAAAATGAATGCAACTCACAATCACATGGTAGCCACAGCAAAATTGCACAATGCACACACTGTCAATCTCAGTATTGTAGGTTAGAATGTGCAGACTCAGTGTGCATTAGGTTTAGGCTTCGTTCATGAGTGCAACACAATAAAGATCTCATGACATTCATACAAGATGACATGAAAGATGGTGTGCAGAAATCATCTAAACAAATAGGGCATACAAGTGGATATGTGAGTGATAGCTATAAGTTGGAGCAGGATGTATGTGTATGATGGATTCTAGGCACAAAGGTATAAGGTACTTCAGACTGGCTGTATCCAGCACATTGAGCACCCACCTACAGTTTGAGTCCAACAGTTCACTTGGGTGAGGTGTCTCTTCTCACCTTTTGCCAGTGCCTTGATGAAAGGTACTTGAGATGAAGGTGGATCATATTGAGAATGGGCCAACAGTGCTTGTAGTCCTCAAGCTGTGGGAACCATTGCCTGGCCTAAAATGGGTGAGTAAATTCGCTCTGGACACAATAAACAACCTACAATGCCAGTGACTTTCTGAACAGCTTTGAAATCCTGGTAGCTCCTGCTTTTTGTTGTATTGAGATACTTCTTCACTGCTGTGTGGACAACTTGCTACCAAGTCTTACCTTAGTTAATGAAGCACATTGTCTAAGATGTACATACCTTGACTTTATGCATCTCATCATCACTCCATCACAAGTGCTCCTCAAGGCTGTATCCACCCCTTCCTGGACAGCCTACCTTGCTGGGTGGTTTCTAAATTTTAGTGGTAAGCTCAATAGACTTGAGGCTGGTGAGTGAGGAGTCTAAGGGTGAAGGCGAAGATTGTGGTTCCCCAACATCAACACTGGTGAAACTGACTGTCTTTGGTGACCAAGGCAATGTGGGTGTATCCTGATTGGGCAACTGTGACTGAGGCAATTTGGATGTATCCTTAGCAGGCATCTGACTGGACTGGGGTGACTGTGCCCTACACAGCTCCTTCCTATTCTCCAAAGAGGTCTGATGGCTCATGGGCCTCATTTCTTGCTCCACTACCACAATGACATGCCAGACCTGCTGATACACTATCTCAGCCTGTGAGGATAACAGGGGCAAAACCTCCACTGGGTGGGGGACAAGGGGAGGAACAGATTGAGACCTTGCGCATTGCGACCTGACAAGAGGCATGGGGATTCAGTTTGATTCAGTCACTGGGAGGAATTGAGGAATTTATTAGGGCATTTATGAGGGTGGGCAGGTTATTGTTACCCACATTATTGTTTCTGATCAATTAATCATGACAGCATTCTCATTGTTTGGAGTTAGTTGCCTGGTTGCAAATGCCATGCTTCTCTGTGTTTTTCTTATTGGTTTGTCCCTAATATAATCAATTGTACCTTAGTCTAATGACAGACATCCAATTGGGACCATGCACCAGGAATGAACAATTTCTTTGATCCTACTGATTCTGTTTGCCCCTGCTGCTGGTACATTATCTTAGACAGAACACAACATAGGAAGGTGGAGAAACAGACCTGGGTTGAATCACAGGAGTTGTCATTATGTGGGGAAGCAACTTGGGAAAGCTGTCAAGGAAGCACTAAGCAGAGACATAATTGAGACCAAGGATTCCCTACCCTTCTCATGCACCTCTGCATGATTCCAAAAGCTAAACCAATAGCATCTGCAGCTACACACTCAATATCATTGCAGAATTTCTCATCCATTGGTCCCTGGAAGTCTGCTAAGTGGCACTGCACTGTACTGATGATGCAGGCTTCGAGATTGACCAAAGATGACTGGGTATCTTGGAACAACATTCAGTTGAGGCAAAGTAGATTGAGCAAAGTAATAGGTACTCACTGCCAGAGCTAGAAGACTGGATATCAGTATCTTGGAACAATGCTGGGTTGATGCGAAGTGGATTGAGCATAGTAACAGTACTTACTACCAGTGTCAAGGGAGGGAAAGAGTGCACTGCCAGAGCTAGCACTGAAGTACTGTGTTCCTTGTGTAGAAGTACCATTGCTCCCACTAACTGCTGCATATGTTCATCAAAAATCAGGCATTCCAATTTCATTGCACACCAGAGTTACCAGAAGCATCCCAGATCATTGTGTCACATTGGACCAGCCAGGAGGAGCACAAAGATGCAGATGGGGTAAAGGATGTTAACAATGAACCAGAACACATGTAGGGATGGAGACAGTTGTGGGAATGCTTTGCATGATGAGTAGGTTCCACCATCTGTGTGGTAAAAATTGGCTACAACAGGTGATGTTGTATGGTAAGATTGTTATTGTCAGTGCAGAGCATCGCAGAAAATGCACAAGACAATAGTCATCACCAGCATCACACCTTGACCAAGATAATCAAGCCAAACCTAAATATGAAATGAGAATCAAACATTCATAATGAAAACAATGCACACCAATTATTGCCATCACCACCCAATGCTTGTATACATGATGTTTACATATGGTCTACACATGTAAAATAGGAGACATTGTTACTTTTCTACTTCCCCTATTGGGAGATCAATGCCAAGGGCTGCACCCCACACAAGTACTACAATGTATACACAGAACAAGCCAACTAACACACTGCAAAAACCTAGCATTGGAGATGGAATGAAGGAAGCCAAGTCTACCAGGTAGGCAAAGAAGAGCAGGGCACAAAATGCCATGAAGCTGGAGGACAACATGGACCAAATGCCAACTTTCATGTGAGGTACTCCTGGTCTGGCACCTTGTATGTGGATGTTTCTTGCATGTATGCCTAATCCCATCATGAACAATAAAAATCGTCACCACAATGGCTGCTAAACAGGTAGGATGACCTAGACATGCATAATTAATTAAATTAAAAATGTAGGCAGAGTTAGTACACAACCTACCTGTGTGGTGACAGGTATGCGACATCATGGAGTTGTGTGCTGGGTTACAGGGACCTGCACAGACATCTTTGGTGAGCAACAATGCAGACAACAACTCTTACAGACCTGTTGCAATAAAATAACAGTAGCCCAAATGTATGATCTTTCAGTCTTTCTTGTATTCAGAGCATATTCAAAATTCTACACTGCTCATAACCAATTCTCTACAAGCCATTACAGATTAGCTACTATATCTATCTATGTACTTGATGTTAATTGCTGTGGGCACAGTTAGTCCATAGTAGCAGTCAACATTGGCCACTTACCTGTGGAAAGAAGGAAAAAGGTGTTCATGAGAAAGCTCACCACTGATATACTGAACACAACTCATGGTCATGTGGTAGTGCATGCATTGTGTGATGTGGAATTTTGCTGTGGCTACCACATGACCATGAGTTGCATTCAGTATATCAATGACAACTTTTCTCATGAACACCTTTTCTCTCTTTCCACCCCCAACAGGTAAGCCACTCATCAGCTCCTTGTACTTCACAACCTATTAACCATCTTCACTTGCAGTCCACCACTAAAGATAGTGTAGTGGTAGACCACCTGGGTATTCCCAGCAACTGCTGGAGAGTCACCAGGCCCTGGAGATTCACCAGAGCAAGGGGTCAGACATGGACTTTCCCCAGGATTATTATATCTATAACAGAGTGCCTGGGGTCCAAATGGGGCTTTCCCCAGTGGATTAATAGACCTATTTCCTAGGCATCCTGGGGGATTCTCCAGCCTAAATGGACCTGTTCCCAGTGCATGCTGGGGGTTTCTCCAGCCTGAATGGACCTGTTCCCAGTGCATGCTGGGGGATTCTCCAGCCTAAATTCCCCAGCCTAAATGGACCTGTTTCCTGGGCATCCTGGGGAATCTCCCCCCCACTCTGGGGATTGTCCAAGGAATGCTGGGGATTCTGCAGGCCATGCTGTGGATTCTCCAACTCACTCTGGGGATTCTCCAGGCAATGCTGGGGATTCTCCAAACCACCTTGGGGAATCACCAGGAAATGCTGGAGAATCTCCCACCCATTCTGGGAATTCTCCAACTCACTCTGGGGATTGTCCAACCCACCCTGGGGATTCTGCAGGCAATGCTGGGGATTCTCCAACTCACTCTGGGGATTCTCCAGGCAATGCTAGGGACTCTCCAACTCACTCTGGGGATTCTCCAGGAAATGCTGGGGACTCTCCAACCCTCCCTGGGGAATTTCCAGGCAAAGCTGGAGATTCTCCCACCCACTCTGGGGATTCTCCAAGGCATGCTGGGGAATCTCCAGGCAATGTTGGGGAATCTCCAACCCACCCTGGGGACTCTCCAGGCCATGCTGGGGAATCTCCAAGGAATGCTGGGGAATCTCCAGGCAATGTTGGGGAATCTCCAACCCACTCTGGGAATTCTCCAGGTCATGCTGGGGATTCTCCAACCCACTCTGGGGATTTTCCAGGCCATGCTGGGGATTCTCCCACCCACTCTGGGGAGTCTCCAAGCAATGCTGGAGATTTTCCAGGCAATGTTGGGGAATCTCCAACCCACCCTGGGGAATCTCCAGGCCATACTGGGGAATCTCCAGCCCACTCTGGGGAATCTCCAGGCCATGCTGGGGAATCTCCAGCCCCTTCTGGGGATTCTCCAGGCCATGCTGGGGATTCTCCCACCCAATTTGGGGAATCTCCAACCCACTCTGGGGATTCTCCAAGGAATGCTGGGGATTCTCCAGGAAATGTTGGGGATTCTCCAACCCACTCTGGGGAATCTCCAGGCCATGCTGGGGATTCTCCAGGCAATGTCATGGAATCTCCAACCCCCTCTGCACATTCTCCAGGCACTGCTGGGGATTCCCAAATCCAATATGGGCATTCTCCAAGGAATGCTGGTGATTCTCCAGTCAATGCTGGGGATTTCCCACCCACTCTGTTATGGCCTGAGGATAGACACTGATATATCTTTGTGTTACTTGTACCACTGGTCAGATGCTGTAACTCCCTCTTTCTTCTAGGTTGTTTGAGCTTGTGCTAACTTCCATTTCATCCCAAATGTGCAATATGGTGCCACCCTGGAGGATATTGCATGCATCACTTCTTTGCATGTCAGTGGGCTGCAGAAAGTTGTGAAGAGGGGTGGGAGTTCCTTGATACCAAAGAGAACCTTTAGATTGGCTGGCTTCTCAATCTCAGAAACAAGTTGCCAAATTGTCTCTGTACTCCAAGATACAGTTGGAATTTGAGGGCCATCAGCTGTCTTTTGTCAAGGCATTTATAAAGAAGAACCAGCAAGGAGTGACTAGATTAGATATGTGGAATTAAATGAGTGGTTTTCATGCTCTAGAATAGTAGTACTATTGCTCTCTAACACAGAAAAAAAGATTTCACAGCATGACTTCCTAATTAGGAAGATAGGTGAAGGCATAGGCAGCAGTGGCATAGGCACTGACTTTGAGCAAACCTGTTTTTTCTCCAGCACCATGCCTGGGGACTCCAGGCTGGCCATTGATTTCTCCTAGCCACATGACCTATTTGTCATGTGATCCTATGTCATGTGACTTCTGTGCTCTGACTTGACCCTACACTTTTCATAGTCAACTGTAGTCAAAAGTGCACACTATGAAAGTGTAGCATAGCCTACACTATGCAGCACTACAAACTATTACAACTAGTACACTAGTATGTGTTGCTACTACAGGGAGTGATAATGGAGTGATGTCATCATAATGAAAGTTGTAGCCCCTGATTGTGCAATCATGACAGTATGACTATCTTATCAGAAAGTGGAAAATTGCATGAGAAAAATGCAAAACACTTGTGATCAGCACTATGCTAGGAGAAATCAATGGCCAGCCTGGAGTCCCCAGGCATGGTGCTGGAGAAAAAACAGGTTTGCTCAAAGTCAGTGCCTATGCCACTGCTGCCTTCTTGGAGTACAGAGACAATTTGGCAACTTGTTTCTGAGATTGAGAAGCCAGCCAATCTAAAGGTTCTCTTTGGTATCAAGGAACTCCCACCCCTCTTCACAACTTTCTGCAGCCCACTGACATGCAAAGAAGTGATGCATGCAATATCCTCCAGGGTGGCACCATATTGCACATTTGGGATGAAATGGAAGTTAGCACAAGCTCAAACAATCTAGAAGAAAGAGGGAGTTACAGCATCTGACCAGTGGTACAAGTAACACAAAGATATATCAGTGTCTATCCTCAGGACATAACAGAGTGGGTGGGAAATCCCCAGCATTGACTGGAGAATCACCAGCATTCCTTGGAGAATGCCCATATTGGATTTGGGAATCCCCAGCAGTGCCTGGAGAATGTGCAGAGGGGGTTGGAGATTCCATGACATTGCCTGGAGAATCCCCAGCATGGCCTGGAGAATCCCCAGAGTGGGTTGGAGAATCCCCAGCATTCCTTGGAGAATCTGCAGAGTGGGTGGGAGAATCCCCAGCATGGCCTGGAGAATCCCCAGAGTGGGTTGGAGAACCCCCAGTACCCCACAAGTCCATAGAGAGAGTATGGCCCCATATGTACCTTGCCATGTCAATCATTTCAGTTGTCACAATGCCAATTACTGTCTTGCAACTAGAGATGGCTCAATATAATTTATCTGCTTACACAGACTATCAGTGCAGTGGATACATAGAGGATGGAGATCACATGTATATGCAACAAGTATAAGCCAAATGACAACTTACTGTTTCCATGACATGATGCACATGCCTTCTACAACATCAGTATGACCAATGATGACAAATGGATAGTGGATGAGGTACTTGCCCACCAGTGGTCTGATAACAAGGTAGAATTCCTTGTCAAGTGGAATCTGGGAGACTCCACATGGGAACTGACATCCCACTGCAAGAAGCTTGAGGCCCTAGACAGGTACCTCAAACTTCAAGGCATGCAGAATGTATGCCAGTTGCCTTGCAAGGCACAGGATACACAATAGCATGTAGTAGCCACTTGGTGGCTACAAGTAGTTGTGTACTACTAATGGAACCAAATGGACTCAGAGAAAAAACAAAGTCAAATTAAAATTAAAATAAAATACCAAAGATAAAGATCAAAAAAAAGCCTAAAAATAACTGAACACTGCATTCTGTCAAAGGTAGATAGTATATGTAGCCACCCACTGACCACTCCTCAGTCATGTGTTTTTTCTATGTTGAGTATTGCTTAAGTTTTTAATTATGCCTCGTGCCCTCCCTTTTTTCCTTTTGCTTCTTCCTCACTCATACCACTTAGTAGCACCAATTCCTTCCAACACAACAAACCATCAAGTATGTCTTCCCACAATAACCATCACAGCACCTGGGGCTCACACTCCCCCCAGCCTTCCCCATGCCATTCTCACAGGGAGTCAGCCACATGCAATTGTGGTGAGCTCTCTGTGCATTGAGGCACACAACCTGATAGCAAGGCTCCTTGCTTGCCATCCCCCACTGCTCAGCGCAGCATGCATATGGTCAGCAGTGGCCAGAAATGTTCTCACTTCCCATCCATTGTGTCTTCATGTGCCTCATCTTGAGAGCACAATGATCATTGGAACAAACACCCTTGAGGACCCTTCTGGGTGTGCCACCTGCAACTGCCATTTATCTGGCATCATGATTCTGGTTGCACAACATGCAATGCTTATGCATTGCATGACTCCCAGGGCATGGCAATAAACACTTCAAAGGTGCACAGTCTTAGCATGAATTTTATGTTTAGTTCAGGTTCTGTATGTAACATGTAAAGTTTCAATTCATTTGCAGTGGGTAACTGTCTCTGCATGTCATTTCATTTTACATCTCATGATGAACCTGTCAATGTTTATATGGATTCACAAGATGTCATTTTGTCATGGTCCCCAGGCTTCCATCTTATACTGTTCTCTGCTTAACTGCTTGTACCTTTAGATGTCCACCCAATCTAGAACAATCCCACTGAAAAAGAAGGATAGCAAAAAAGCCAAACAACAACCAGAGGCTGATGGAAGCACTTGACCTGCAAAAAACAAGTGTCTAGGAAGCCCACCCATTGGTCTCAAAGAGTCTCAGTCTGTTGCCACAGCAGGACTCCATCATAGTGGAAGGGCAGGGGCAGGTTCAGGTGGAAGGGCTGAGCAATTGGAGTGGATTGGTACTGCCCTTGAAGGCTGAGCTACATGGCTGTGAAAGTCAACAGATCTCCCCAACAATTCCATTGTAAATCCTCTTGCACCACCACCCACTCAGTGGAAAAAGGGTGGGGGCCACAGTGCTGGCCAGAATGCAAAACTGAAGGTCAGTTCTAGTTGTTTGCAAATATCAAGCTAACCATTTGCAAAGTCCAATGTCACCCCACCACCCTATGCACCTCCCATTGTGAATGGTACTAGCCCAGCTGATATGCCTCTGGTCAGTGCCTTTTCATACTGATATACAATGTTCATTTCAGAATCCTGTCCCTCAGTCTTCAATAGCAGTAGCAACTCCTGTCTTCCACCAGCACCCCACAGACTCCCATCACTCTGGTTTCAGTGTTCTGGCTCAACAGTCAGGTGATATCATGCCTCCCAGGATGGAACCTGACCTTCAAGTGCACAATAATCCCCAACTCTTGTATTGACCCTTTCATTGGTAGCTCACTCTCATCAAGACAAACTTTGGCAACCACTGATGTTCACCACAAGAGTTCAGAGAAGCTGTCATCAGAGGGCTCCTCAGAAGAGGAGTTGGAGTCCTCAAATAATAACCCATCAGATGCAGAGGCTAGTGAGGTCTCCAGTGATGAGTCCAACAAAGATGAAGACAATGCATTTGGACGGGGTGCAATGAATCTTAGGCAATCAACTCATCCTGGTACATGTCAGAGGTTATTATGGTATTCACTCAATGTTCTTTGTTAGGCTTCTCCCAAGAAACAATGACAAGCAATCCTATTTGCCACAATTCCTTACCCCCTGACCATGAGTTTACATACTCATGTAATGAGGATGATGATGCAGCTCTGCAAAGCTTACAATCCAAGGACAAGGCTCAGCCAGAGGTATGAAAAGGCCATTCCTGCTAGCTTTATTTATTCAGATTGTTATTTTAGGGTTCCCAATGTGGTGCTGTTGTCAGTGTTCTTGAACACCACCATTGCACTAATGGCTGCCCTTCTGTTCCTGATCATGATCTTCTGACCCCTGCACACAACTTGGTCAACAAAGTATCTCAGCATGCTGTAGGAAATGAGATTTAAATGAGGAGAGGTTTAGTAGGGATATCTGAGGGGAATGAGTAGGCCAAAAGGGGCTTCTATAGCCTGGGACTGGATGGAGGGGATGTCTGAGGGCTTCTATGGCTGTCTGGGTGCAGGGAAATGACCTTCTTGAACTTGTCTCTTGTCTATGGTAACTCATCTATTTTTTCTAAAGGAAAAAACCATACACAAGTAGCACTACTGCTGACTAAGCAACCAAAAATGCGAAATCTAAGTGCAACTCATAGAAAAAAGTATCTAGAATGAAAGTGAAGTAAAACAAGCAAAATAAGGCAATTCCCCTGGTAGGGAAATTACATTCCCTAAAGTGCCAGAGCCCCTCATAACTCCAAGAAAGCTAAGGATGAGGGTCCATTGCCCTCACAACTGAGATTTTACAAGGCAGTATGGAAGGACTGTCTTGAAGATGCTAAATGAGAATGCAGGGCTGCACATGCACTTTCTAACCCATTCCCATTGAAATCTCACAACCTCAACCTCTCCATAACAGAGGTGCTCATCACTGTCATCATTGAGTGGAATCAACACAGTGTGCAATTTGAAGCTGGTGAGTAACAATATTTTCACTTTATACATGTCTCATTATCCTAACTTTATAGGTTGCTGGCCTGACCACAAGTGAGATATGGTGCACCTCATAAGTAGTCCCATCTTTCGGTTATGGCTGCTGACATACTGCCAGTAGCTCCTTGGTGATATATCTACCTGGTGTTCAGAATTGAAGTCAGTTGTGCTGGAAACCATGCCATCTGTGTTCAACCTTATCCCTCCTTCTGATGTTGCACCATGGGTTCATGTACAATGGATAGAGACCACTGCCACAAAGCTCCTTTTCAATTCACTTTTCCTGTGAGACAGTATTGATGAGAATGTATGTTTGCACAGTTCATTATCTGCACTACTAACAGATTGGTTTATCAGGGAAAAACCAGGAATTTCACTCACCCCACCTTCAAGGAAGCTGTCATACAATTCTACTATACTGGCACATATCAAATCATGGATAAGAATCCTGAGTCCTTCAGCAATTCAGTTCCCCTTTCCTGTCTGGCTCTCATTGCAGCCACAGTGAGTTATCTTACACCCTGAGTTGCTGCAACTCAAACTTTTCCTCACAGTATCATTGTGTGTTGGATGGATTTGTGAAGAATGGCACAGGAAAGACAATGCCTCAATTCTCTGGCAAGGCTTACAATTCCATTTTCCATGGCATGATGAAGGTGCTGAACAACATCCTTTGCAATCCTTATCACAGCATGAGGTTGTGTGATCAGCTTTCTCAGTGGGTGAAGGAAGGATGGTAAGTACCATGGTGGCTGACATGCTCATACTGACTCCTCACATCAGGGCTGCACTGCAAGAGGTTGATATGAATGTAGATAGGTACCAGCTCATTCAGGCAGTCCTTGATTGATTTCATAACCTATTCCTGTTGTACCTGTCACTACACATAGTATGCAATTGATGCCAATGTACCTGTTCCTGTCATACCTGCTGTGAACTGTTGCTAGTTGTAGAGTGACCACCTGTTTGCAAAGTAAACATTGAGATGAGGAGTACTGGACAACACCCCAAGGAGAATACAGTCTGGCCAGTTTTGTACAGTGATAGCTAAGCATGAAAGTTCCATAGCAATCCATAGTAAGTAAGATACTGGACAAAGTTCCATGACAATGTGACCATTCCATAGTAACAGGCAACTAGCCATAGCAAAAAGTGTTGTTGGGGGCATCTGTCCAGCCTGGACCTAGCTAGGGGACTCTGTGTATTATGGAGCACTGTGGAGAGCTCTGAAGCTCAAAGTGATTTACTGATGAGGTCAGCAAGAAACCAGTCAGGTGCATTGAAACATAGTGAGCTGACCATGGAATTACTACATGCTGCATTTCAACCATCCAGGTTGCTGCAAACACTAGTAGTGCTTGTGTAACTATGAGTCATTCTCAAACATTGGGGAAGAAACCTTGTGGCTGGTGAAGTAAGAGGGCCACTGAGACAGTTGAACAGGATCCTCAGGCTGGGGATACCACAGTGGCAGTAAACCCACACTCTTATGTATCCCTAGGTTGGCTTGCTAACAAGGTCAACCTTGCATAATTCAGGCATGGGCTTGATGTACACCCCAAAGTACATGATCAAAACATTAGGTCCACATCTAAATCCTCCCTCACACACATTCAATCACTGCTGCTAGACCATTCTTATTTGGCTGCCTGTCATTGCACTGCTGGTTGCTCCCCAAACATTCTCCACTTTGCAAGGTTGATGGATCACTTTTTCCAGACAGTTTTCATTTCTGTGTTGCTTGGTCTCATTAGCTCCTGCCGGACTTGTGATGGACAACTGATGCTTTTGTGGAATACCCTGTTATATGATCATACTGTTGGTGTCTCTGTAACCTCAGGTAGCATTAGAAATCACAATTTTGTCAATTGCCTGGTTATTGCTATGACAAGTGGGGCATATGTAAGTATATACAAAAATCTGCACCATCATGGCAGAAAATGAGTGCTTGCGTCATCTTAATACAGTGTCATGACATGGAAAAACAGTTACAAGGCACTGTTAGTCAGTACTTACAACTTCTTTTTTTAATGAAGACACTTTTTTTTACTACACTCTGACCCTTAATAAAAGTGATTTGGACATTTATTTTTAGTGATTTTGCTTTTTACAGTCACAGCAGATTTTGGAGAGTTAAGGACAGGTTTTAATGTAGTACAAAATGTAAAGACTGCACTTAAAAATTGATTTGACAATTTTTTGAAGGCAAAACTTGAGGTATTGGCAAACATTGAGGCATTCGCAAACACTTTAAGTTTTGCCTTTGAAGAATTGTCAAATTAATTTTCAAGTGCAATCTTTACATTTTGTACTACATTAAAGCCTGTCCCTAACTTGCAAAAATCCATGTGTGAACAGATTTTGGAGAGTTAAGCATAGGTTTTAATGTAGTACAAAATGTAAAGACTGCACTTGAGAATTAATTTGACAATTTTTCGAAGGCAAAACTTGAAATATTGGCAAACATTGAGGCATTCACAAAAACTTGAAGTGTTGCCATTGAAGAATTGTCAAATTAACTAGAACATGGCTGGTGCCACCAGCAGGCACCTTGTTTACTGCACCAGAGCACTGCCCTCGCAGCATGCAGCACACAAAAGAGAATTCCAACCAATAGATTTGTGTACTCATACCATGCCCCCCCTTTATCACAACATAGTACACATACATTACATGTACATGACCCCAGACAATATCACACCTACACAATCTCCTCACTTCCAAGGAATTGACATCAGAGCAGCTCATGTCTAAGTAGCATCAGCAACAAGTTAACTGCACATGTGTAACAGACATTCATGAATCATCCTTGATCAGAAAAGACTGAGCATGGATAAAGGGATACACACTACCTCATACATAACCCCCCAAAAGCCAGATGATGTCAAAGAAACCCAAGCACTTGAAAACCTCAGCAGCCGAAAGAGACACGACCTGCATCTTGCTGATATTAACCCACAGGCCATGGCAATGAGTCATGGAGTGAGCCATAGACCTACACACCCCAGATTCTCCATGGATATCTTGGCAAGCCACCAAAAGAAACCCATGTTCCACATACTTTTCCAGAGTGCACATTGTTTTGAATCTGAATAGCTTGAAGTACAAAGAACCTGCATTAACCATGGACATTAGCTTGAGGGTTAGCTTCAGATATGCACAGAAGATGTAATCCACTGTGATGAAATTCATCACAACAGTGCTGTGAAATTTGAAAATCAGAGACACAGCAGCCACTGTGGAGGACATGATGACATTGATACACCTGTGGAAGTTGGAGAAGGATATGATGCAACGAATTGAAGAAGACACATATGACCCCACATCCACTGAGCACTGCCACACAATGACATAGCCTGTGCACAGGAGGTCAGACAGGCATACATGTGATGTAAAACCAGAAGCTCACACCCTCATGTTCTAGTAGGATTGACAGGTAAGTCAAGTGTTGGCAGGAGACATAAATGTCAAGGTCAGACAGATGCCAAGGCATCTCATTTGCAGGTAAGAGGATGTGCAGCACACAGGAACCAGACACCACCACATCACATGAGTGCAAGAGACCCATCAGTGTCTCAATGTTGTTGAAAAATGGCATGGTCAACAGGTGCAGTCAGTGCTGGATGTACTTATGAGCAATGGTATTCAGCACAGTAGAGGCCTGTGCCAAATTAGTGATGTCTGCAATGTTACAATACCCAAGGACATGTCATTTTACCTCAAGGGGCAGAGGATACATGGTAGGTGGGAGAGTCGATGCAAGGGTACCTCATCAATCACACAATATATACCTTTGACAGTAAGGGGCATAAGGGGGCCCCCTATGCAGCACCTGACACATATGAGGGGCTCTGGAGCTCTAGTGCCACACAAGGGAACCCCTGAGCATGAGACATTGTCTATTGCCATAAGTGAGATTACTGTATAGAAAGAGATATGGAAGACTACTCTGCTGCAGGCAATGTACCACCAATGGCCAGGAAGTGGTTTGCCAGGCTGAAAAGGGAGATTAGGCAGGTCACACCACAGAAAGCCATGGAACACCTACACCAATAGGACCTGCAATATGTCTTGCAAGTTATCCTCTGCACAAATGTTCAATGGTGTCATATGAGCCAGTCACACATGGATGAAGACATAGCTTGCATTTTGACACTCTGTCTGATGATGCACAAGATCAAAAAATACAACATAAACCCTCCTGCCAACATCCATAGACATCAGCTGCAAACAGGTACTGAGTACCAGAGATTCAGATGTTGTCATTTCTGGACACACTGTCACACACCAAAGGTGTTGTGGACATGGTTACAGCTGACTCTGCCTAACTTGTTGATGAGTTGCACACAATGCCCATGCCATGCAGATGAAGACTAAAGGCCTCATGTATAGAAAGACTGCCAGATGTGAGCAGTCATCCTTTGCACAACAACAAGTCATCAGTGCTAAAGAGAAAAGAGGAAGTGAGTTAAGTGCACATTAAAAGTTTTTAGCATCCATGTACAGCATTCCAGTTTTTGTTGTATCTCTGCCATTTCCAAAGATATTGACTGCATTCTCACACTTGCTTCAAGTGCTCAGCCACACAGTTCTGCCTTCCAAATTTGGAGAGGATCCTTGCACCCTATGCATTTCTATAGCACTCCATCATCAGATGCTCATATTGCTAAGTCCATCAATAATGGCCACCTCTTTGTCAATCATCTCACTTGTCTCATTTGCCAGAGACAGTGACTATGTGTATCTGCCAGGCATTCCCACCAGCTTCTGTCCTGAACCCCCCTGGTTCATCCCATCATTGTCAGCCCTGTCTCATCCCATGCAGCTTGGTCAGCATGTTCTCCTTGTCAGTATGTCTTCCAGAAGGATGTTCTTTAGTTGCCTCAGGTCTGTCACTTGGTTAGAAAGGTCTTATGTGGTTGTTTCAGTCTCCCCAGTTGATGAAGCATATGGATTGTTCCTCCCTGCTCCCTGCACCATCTTTATTCCAATCTCATCCATCATTCTCCCCACATTGTGACAGCTGCAGCATAATCTACTGTTCCCCAGCCTCCCTGATTGCATCCATGACAAGTATGATGTGCATCTTGCCTTCTTACTGCAAGATCCAGCAGAAAACATCCCCCCTTCTCCTTCTCCTTCAGCAGAGCCCTGTCCATGAAATTTTTGTTAACTTCACTGAGAGGATGAAAGGGTGGGAGACATGATCGCATATGCTCCCATTGCCCCACAGACCCCCAATGCCCTAGCCCCTTTGATGCCTGACTCATGCCCTTCACTTCTGGAATTAATACTTCCTTGTCTGGAAATGCCACCCATCTGTCATGCCATCTTTGGATCTAGAGATGTCTCCACCAAGATCTGACTTGCATTGCCACCCCCTAATGTGATATCAGTGTGCTTACTCAGTTTCTGACTCCATTTGACTCATTCTGTGATATTTTGACTATCCTTGACTCATTTATTGCCAATATTTTTACCAATCTTCTTTGCTTGCTTACTTTTCATTTCTCAATTACTCATCATGATTACCCAGTCCTTACTCATTACTTACCAAGTGTTTGTGCAATGTGCAAGACATGATACAAGATGTGGCCAGGGCAGAGGAAGAGGTGACCATGGAGTGTAAGCATAAAGGGAAAGAGATGTGACAGGAAAGATGGCATACCAAATGTCAGTGCAAAATGGATAAGGCCACTGCAAATGAAAGCAGTGGCAAGGACAAGCAGGAGCAACACAAGGTGACAGTGCAATATATGCAGTTACCTACTCCTGAACAATAGCAGCGCTGCAGAGCAGCCTTCATCAATGCTACAAATAACGAGGTGCTTGCATCATCGGTCTGTGTCATATGCATGCAGGAGCTTCTGCATAAAGAAGGTAAGGCAAGCAATGACCTGACAAATTTAAAAGCTCAGACACACCAGGGGACTTGTTCATCAGCAAAGACATTCCACATGTTTGATGACATCTAAGCCCTGTGACAGCACATCCCACACACCAGCTGTGGGACAGACTTCTGGTTGACAGCAGCCATATAGATGAGGTTGGGAAAGGGTGGGTCTGCCAAGAATGTCTCCAAGCCCTGCATGCAGATCACCTGCCCAACATGAACAACATCCTGTGGTTAGGTGACATACCATTGGTGTTGCAGATCTTGAGCTTTGTAGAGAGCTTGCTAATTGTGTGGCACTATCATCAGTGTTATGTATGTTGGAGTTTATCACCTTTACCTTAGTTGTGGTTCACCGAGCACAGCATTATGTAATCCAAAAGCGGACACTTAGCAGTTTATTTTTTCCTTACTGCACCTCAGCTTCAACCAACTTGAAGTCTGAGGTGGGACTCCTGCCATTCATTATATTGGAACACTTACTTACCTACCTACAGTATATTCCTCTCCATAGGTAGTTCATTGTTTAAGCTTCAACCAACTTGAAGTCTGAGTATATTCCTCTCCATAGACTTGACAATCCTGCAGTGCATCATCCTCCAAAAATGTATTCAAGTTATATCCCAGAGATGGCAGTTGCTCACAAAATCTGTGCCATCTGCAATGGGCCATGGCAGGAAATGTCACCTTGTATGAAATTAATGTCCCTGCCATCATGTATTTATATCCCAGAGATGGCAGTCACTCACAAAATCCATGCCATCTGCAATGGGCCATGGCAGGAAATGTCACCTTGTATGAAATTAACATCCCTGCTGTTGTTGATATGCTTGAAGGTAGACTGCTGCTGCAGACTGTTGAGACACTGAGCAGTATTTTGGTGATCACAATGGTGGGAATGAAGCAACTACCAAAGGACTGGCTCTCTCACACCTTTTGAGTGTGACAGGAAGTGGTACATGATGTGCTGAAATGGCTGCAGGTGAACAATGAAAATTATAGTGACACAATGATATCTGATGAAAGTATCTTCATGCTACCAGAGGATGGCATACCTGCAGAGATTGAAGTGACAATCTGATATCACTGCAAGCATTTCACAAATTTTCATGAAAAAACATGTTGAAAAAAATTGAAAGAAGAGATGACATGTTATTTGGGATGTTTTCACACAAAACATCCAAGAGTAATGTTTTATTTTCTCTGCATGTCCTACCCATAAACATTAATTGATGGTAATGACCATTAGCTTCTAGTCTAATGGGGATTACCATCAATTCATGTTTGCTGGTGGAGAAGGCAAAAAAAAATGAAATGTTATTTTTGGATTTTGTCTGTAAAAACATCCATAAAAACATGGTATCTTTTCCTTCAATTTTTTTCAACATGTTTAGACATGAAAAATTGTGAAATGCTTGCAGTGTATCAAGATAGTGAAGATGTGGCTCTTCAGGAAAGAGAGGGTTACTCGATGAATGAGGACCTGGTAAATGATGGTGAGCTCATGATACTAAATAACCACATTGCAAATGGTGTTGAGATATGTCCTGCAACAGAAATGGAAGGCAAGAGTGACCTACCAATGGCAGATGTGGAGAGAGATGAGTTTTGGAGGATGACAAGCTGCAGGATTGTCAAGTCTATGGAGAGGAATATACTCAGACTTCAAGTTGTTTGAAGCTGAACAATTAACTACCTATGGAGAGGAATATACTGTAGATAGGTAAGTAAATGTTCCAATATAATGAATGGAAGGAGTCCCACCTCAGACTTCAAGTTGGTTGAAGCTGAGGTGCAGTAAGGAAAAAATAAACTGCTAAGTGTCCGCTTTTGGATTACATAATGCTGTGCTCGGTGAACCACAACTAAGGTAAAGGTGATAAACTCCAACAATGAGACCTGGGAGCAGAATGAGGGGGATGGGGATCTTGTGAGTGAAAGTACATCCTCAATGCACTGCACACAGACAGTGAGATCATGCATGCAATACAGACACTGTTGATGTTATGCCAATACATGTACTTGGAGTGGCAGATCTCGAGCAGATGCAAGTGTCATCTTCAGAGTTGATGGCACAGGCTCTTGCAAATTTCAACGAGAACACTGCGAAGGGGGGGTATGTTGTGTGCCATGGCAATGCACCAATTGATGACTTCCCTACCCTGCTGTCATCACCCACAATGCACAACCCACTTGGTGCAGCATTCCTGGTGCTTTTTCTTTATGGCAAGGGTGCTATCAAGGCAGAACATCTGGTCAGTATTAGTCTGTGCAATCATTGTAAGTGGGCCATGCAGTATCATGACTATCAATTTGCCACACACCATTCATTTCCATTCATGGTCTTTGCCCTCATGCAGAAGCAAGAGACTATGTGATCTGCACATCTTCAAATGAGGTGCAAGGACTTTGAACAGGATACACTTGCCTTATCAACCATCACAGTCACAGACCTCAAGAACAC